GAGAGATGAGAGATGAGAGAAGAGAGAGAGAGGAGAGAGAGATGAGAGGAGAGAGAGAGATGAAAGGAGAGAGAGAGATGAGAGGAGAGAGAGAGATGAGATGAGAGAGAGAGATGAGAGAGAGAGAGTGGTGATGGAAAACAACAGAAGTAATATGAGGAATAATGAATATTTGGGCATAAATGTTACAGAATTGTATATAGTATCTTTATAGTTTAATGTACAAGATTCTTTTTTTTATCTCACTTTTCTTACTTTATTTTTCAGACCCGAGGAGAAAGTCGACACACTTTGGATATACTAGTACCCCAAGTTTACTCACATTATCAAGTAAATAATACCATCCTGTAAATGATGTTCTACATTTTTGTTCCTTTTGGGTGAAAGTCAGAATTTAAGGATTGTAAATTATGTTATTAAGACAGGGTTTATGATATGAAGATGTAATCATTGTAAGTAAATTTTCCTTGTAAGAGAGGGTATGTTTCACAGAATATTGCTGATGATGAATTCATGTATTTTCCGATTTTCTGTCTTTGAGAAGACAATGTTTACATGTATAACAATAACAATAGTGTTTCTGTTCTGGTGATTTGATACTGCTGATGAAAAAAGATCTTCAAATAATGAAGTATTAAAGCATTGGTTTCAAAATTGTTAAATTCCATGTTACTTACACTAAGATAATCAAAATAGAAGGAATTAAAATGAAATCAGAACAATTGATTTTATGTAAAAGTTAAAAGAGGCTTAGGTATCAATGTTTACCTCCCTTCTGTGTATGATGTTTTATAGTGGTATATAACATTATTTATTAAGCATGGTTTGATTATCACAGACCCACAGACTTTGCTACAATACAGCAAAGGTTAAACAAGATTAGTGAAATAATAATGTAATATCCCATATTGCAACAATTTTATCTATCTGAATTATTAATTACAGGCCCTACAGCGAACATTCCAGAGTATAGACAATTTGGAAACCTTAGTGATGAGGGTAAAGAATGACCTTGGGAAGATGGAAGCAGCTGTAGAACGAGCAGAGGCGGACCTTGGGCCTGCTCATGGCTTAACAACAGTGATACGACCTCTGTTTTTTGTAAGTGTTGTATGAACCAGGTGCTTCTCTGTTAAAAGTTCATGATTTTGACCCTTGTAATTTAAAAGGGCCTGGATAACAGATACTGTTAAAAGTTTCGTATTTTTTACTTCAGTCTGTTGGTAAGATACCCTCACTGAAGAACAAAAGAACAATGTAAGAAGTTCTAAACTGATATATTAAATTTTCTTTTAACGTTTCAGAAAAGAGACCACCATCAAACACCAAGACCCACAGGATCACAGCTCACTTTCCAGCCACCCGAGATCTTTCACACACAAGACTTCTTTGAAACACAGGATAAACATACTTCTGGTGAAAGGCCAAAAGTTCAAAGCTAAAATTGTAATCTTGTATTCTTTTTTTTTTTTATTTTTTTTTTTTTTTTCTCTCAAACCATTATTGCCTTACTGTTACTTATGAGGTTTAAAAGTCTCATGGACTTGGTCAAGGATATCCCATATATTGTGTCTTATTTGAGTCATTGTTCTGTCAGTAGTGAACTAGTAAATCTTTCTTCTTTTCAGTAGTCAGAGTGACTGCATATCACTATTTTACAGTAATAAACTTTTATTGCAAATGAGTAAAGTATAGATTCATTAGCTATGCCAACACACAAGTGTGATTGTACAATTGCAAGCATACTTGCACACACATGCACATGCAAAAACCTTAATTATACCTACACCCATAAGCCCCTCCACACATCCACATCCACATCCACACCTAACCCATACTCTTTCACCTTCACATACACTCACACCTACACCCAGACCAACATCCACACACCAACATCCACACCCACACCCATACCCATACAAACCTACTCCACACACACACACACACACACACACACACACACACACACACACACACACACACACACACACACACACACACACACACACACACACACACACACACACACACACACACACACACACACACACACACACACACACACACACACACACACACACACCTGTGCATGTGCACTAACACAGATAAAGGGACAGGATTTAAAATTAAGTACTAAATTTTCTGGTATATAAAACATTTTTTTCAGAAAGTATTGAAATATTACTCTATATCCAATATGACCAAATCACTGATACCAAAAGTAAGGTCTATCCATGAATACATAAGGCTTATAGTTAATGTATTTTTCGTTTAGATATATACTGTATAATCAATTCATATGATAATTTTTTTCCTATTCCAGCCTCTCTGATGGTATTCAGTGAAAGCTAGTTATTCTCATACTGATCAATGAGCAAAGCATTGGAATTTCATTCAAGATTATAAAATTTACTTCAACTTTTCCATTTTTATTTTCTTCTCTTAGTAGCAAAGCTTACTGAAATACTGGATTGCTGGTATAGTGTGGAATTACACTATT